GACACCCCTCGAGGCCTGGGTGAACATGTGTTTGTTTTTGGGGAGTATTGTGTTACTGCGGTTTGTTGTGGGTGAGCTCGGTCTTGTTCCCAGCTGCTGTGCTGTGGTTTGTCGGGGCAGCTTTGTCAACATGTCTGTGTTTACTCATCTCTCCGTAGATCCTGGACGAGGTTGAGAAGAGAAGGCAGATCTCCCTGGCTGTGATTTATCCCTTCATGCAGGGGCTGCGGGAAGCAGCATTCCCAGCTCCAGGCAAAACGGTCTCTGTCAAAAGCTTCATCCCGGAATCTGGAACAGAGGTGGGTGCTCAGACCGCCGGAATTAGGAGAGCTTTCGTAAGCCACAAGACTCAGAATGTGGGCGTCACTGGCTGGGCCCAGCATTTATTGCCCGTCCCTAGTTGCCCCCTTGAGAAGCCGGTGGTGAGCTGCCTTCTTGAACCGCTTGAAATTCCAGGATTTTGCCCCAGCGACGGTTAAGGATCGAGATATATTTTCAAGTTAGGATGATGGGTGGTTTGGAGGGAAACTTGCAGGCGCTGCCGTTCCCATCTATCTGCTGCCCTTGGCCTTCCAGATGGCAGTGGCCATGGGTTTGGAAGATGCTGTCTGAGGATCTTTGGTGAATTTCTGCAGTGAATCTTGTAGACAGTACACACTAAAGCTACTGAGCGTCCGCGGTGGATGGAGTGAATGTTTGTGGATGCGGTGCCAATCAATCGAGTTGCTTTGTCCTGGATGGTGTCAAGTTTCTTGAGAGTTGTTGGGGCTGCACCCATCCAGGCAATATGGACATTTTTCAAGACATCACTATTTATTTCCCCAAATTCCCTAGCTTCCATGTCCTTCTCCACAGTAAATACTAACACGAAATATTTGTTTAGTACCTTCCCCCATTTCTGTGGTTCCACACCTAGACACACACAGATCTTCATAGAATCACAGAATCCCTACAGTATGGAAGCAGGCCATTCGGCCCATCAAGTCCACACCCGCCTCTGAAGAGCATCCCACCCAGACTCACCCCCTACCCTAACTCTGTAACCCTGTATTTCCCATGGCCGGTCCACCTAACCTGCACATCTTTGGAGTGTAGGAGGATACCGGGGCACCTGGAGGAAGCCCATGCAGATACATAGAGAATGTGGAAACTCGCACAGACAGTCACCTGAGGCTGGAATCAAACCCGTGTCCCTTCTTTAATCGTGTTGTAATTGACTTTATCCTCTGACTTGCTGTTTTCATTAGACTTTTTATTTTACATGGTCAGTCTCCCATAAAGCGGGGGTTGGGGGGTTCCAGCCCACTTCACAAACGCAACCTGACCTAACACTAACTAGAGACTCCCTGATGGAGACCAGTGAGTTCTTGCTATGCTGAATGAGTGGGGTCTGTTGCAGAGTGGGATAGACTTGTGCTGGAAATGCTTTTCCAAAACCTGCTTTGTCAGCATTGCAAACGTTAGGGAGAATTCTAGACACAGTGCAATAACATGCATGTCATTTGTCGAGGTGAGATTGAGATTTAAAGCAGCCCCAGTTTGTTAATAAAACAAGTTTGAAGGTGTGATGAAGCTTTGATCAATGATGTTGTGCTGACTGGTGAACCAGCAGTGACTGAGTATTATTCAAGTTTTTGTTGTCTGCAGATCATCAACCTGACACGACCCTCTGACTCCCGCCTCGAACACGTCGACTTCACCTCACTCTTCAAATACTTATCGGAGGAAAACGTCATTGCAATTTTTGCCTCGTTGCTTCTGGAGAGACGAGTGATATTCCTGGCCGAGGAACTCAGGTACATGAGAGAGACATCCTGTAACATAGACCCTGGGGGGAGAAGGTGATGAAATGTTTGCTCCCTCAGGGCTGCCTTGAATGGGGTATCTGTTGTGTAATGTTGCAGTTACGGCACACTGACCTTGGTCCAGATTGACTGTGGCCTTTCCACAACAGCCCAAACACAACGGAGACATCACCCTTCCACCAGTCAAGAAAGCGGAGTCAGTTTAAGACTGAATTGCTGCTTCCTGTTTCCGGGGAAAGCACCAACAGAAATCAGCTTTGAACTTTTACTTGAATCTGTTGGGTGTGAAACTGAAAGAAGTGAAAGGTAGCCTGAGAGTGACAAATCAGAAAGCACTGAGAATTAGATAAAGATCATTACTTGTTTTAAAGTGATTCGTACGCAAAATTAAACAATAGTTCAAACTGAGCATTAGGAACAGTCTGAACGAGTAATGAGAAACCCTGGAACTGGATCAAGGTCAGTCTAAATGAGTGTGCAAAGGAGAAACCCTGGAACTGGATTTAGTGCATCTGGAGGTGTGGTTACAGCTTCGAGATACTGACATTCCTTCATCTTGGCATCAGTTGCTGTCAAGAGTTTGCAAGTTTATTAGCCTCATAAACTCTGTCACTCAGACAGGGCAGGTTGGGGCCAAGCATTTGACAGACCAGCACCTCAAGCTTTTGAAGCACTGTGTTAATCTGTGAGGGCACAACATTCCTGGTACAGACTGTTGTAGACAGGCAGAGCAGCAGCCTGCTCAGGACCGTAGAGAAACCTGCTGGTAAAGTGCATTGTAGAGAACTCTGAGCATGTTGCAGTGTTCTAGATATGATTAGCTCTTGGCACTGAGCTCCAATCAAATAGATTGGAATTCACCAAGAACCTTGTGCAACGCCCCATTTGTACTAGTCTCCAGCACCAGGTAAAAGGAGAATTTTTAAAGCATACTTTATAATGCTTTCAATTGAGGAGTGACTTGATCAAACTATTTGAACAGATGAAAGAATTCAATAGGTTAAAACAGTTCTTTCAGGGCAGGAACCTTGGGAGCAACCTTTGATCAAAGGAACAATGTTTTAATTTGGAAAACAAAAACTACAAACGCTGGAAATCAGAACTAGAGTCTTTTAATTAGATGTGACTCCAGGACAATACATTATCTTCCTGATGTCAGGACCCAGAGCATCACTAAATGACTCCAAAATATTCCTGAAGTGGTGGGGGTGGTGTAGACACAAAGGCCATTCTCCAAACTACTACTAACTGCAAGACCAGAAAGAAGGATAAAGAGAGATTTTACAGTATTTTACACAAATTGCACCCAGAAAGTAACCATGGGGGTAAAGAACGTGAGGAATTTTAAATAATCAATTTCCGTAGAGATACTTCTCAAAATCATGGAACAGTTAGAGTGCAGAAGGAAGCTAGTCACCCTGCTATAGCTGTACCAGCCATGTGAATGAGCATCACACTCAGTGCCATGCTCCTGCCTTCTCCCTTGTAACCCAGAACATTGTTGTTTCTCATAGAACAAACTAATTCCCTTTTGGATGCTTTGGTTGAACCTGCTTCCTCCACACTCTCAGACAGTACATTCGAGACCTGAACCACTTAGTGAACTTGCCTCCTCCACATTCTCAGAACAGATTTATGAACAGCCTGTCACTGAGTGTTGCCTCCTGTTATGCTTTCTCATTCAACTTTATGTGCTTCTTAACTCCCTTGGTTAGCCATGGTTGGTTTATCTCTCTCTTTGAATCTTTCCTCCTGACTGGGATTTTTTTTTAGAGTCATGAATTACCTCCTTAAATGGCACCGCTTGCTTCCTGTCATTCCTGCCAATCTGTCTGCCGGGTTTACTTTAGCTAACTCTATCCTATTTTCATTGTAACTCCCTTTGGGTTAAATGCAGTTGTTTCACACCTGTATTTCTCACTCTCAAACTGAATGTTAAATTCTATCATGTTAAGTTCACAACTTCTTTGGCGATGTCTTACTGTGAATTGCCAAAGCAAATGCAGCCTTCAGCAAAATTTGAGCATTGGGGAATGAGGAGGAGTAAGAGGCTGAGCAATCTGGGAGTCTGCAGAACAACAGTCCTGCCCACTGTGGTCTCCATGTGTGGGGTGTAAGGGCGGCACGGTGGCTCAGCGGTTAGCACTGCTGCCTCACATCGCCTGGGACCCGGGTTCGATTTCACCCTCAGGCGACTGTCTGTGTGGAGTTTGCACATCCTCCCTGTGTCTGCGTGGGTTTCCTCCAGGTGATCCGGTTTCCTCCCACAGTCCAAAGATGTGCAGGCTAAGTGGATTGGCCATGCTAAATTGCCCATAGTGTTGAGGGATGTGTAGATTAGGTCGGTTATAGGGGGATGGGTCTGAGTGGGTTACTCTGAGGGTTGGTGTGGACTTGTTGGGCCGTTGGGCCTGTTTCCACACTGTAGGGATGATATGATATGGATATATGGATTTGGATGGTATACCAGTGCCACACCATGAAACTCATCCGATTTAATTCCAGCTTTCTGCTGAAGCTCATGAAGATCTGATGGCAGGATAAATTACCAGAGACTGAGGTGCTCTCTGAGGTGATAGGCCATCTTCCCACAGCTCCACACTGCAACAGTCACAGTGGAGGGGCGGGAGTCAGACTGATAGTGGGGTTGACACTCTCATACCATATCAGAACTGTTAGTCTGGTTAAAGCTGCTTTCCATTGCAGTTTAAACACTTTAAACATTTGAATGTTTGCTTTCACAAACAGTCTGTTAGATCCAATTTATTACCCACCCATAGAGAACTATTTTTTCAGTTGACTTTGGTTTAATGTTTGGCTTGTTGACTCTAACAGTGGGATCTTGCCCCTACAGTATTCTGTCTCAGTGTATCCATGCTGTCGCTGCCCTGCTGTACCCATTCACCTGGCAGCACACCTACATCCCAGTGCTGCCCAAGGTCATGCTCGACACAGTGTGCTCCCCAACGCCCTTTGTCGTGGGAGTACAGAGACAGTTTCGGGAACAGCTGGACGAACTACCCATCGAAGAGGTAAGAGCAAGCTCTGGGTCTGCAATATACTCTGCCTCTTCCAAAGGTATGAAATATGTCTATATCTTAAAAAAAAGCACAACTGGTCACTCAGCTCTGTCCCTGGGTACACTTTGCCAGCCCCACTCTTCTCTCGACGCCCTGCAATTTCCTCTTTTCAGTAATTATCTAATTCTGTTTTGAACACCTCAACTGTATGAAATGTGAAAGAAATGACAAAAAGGGAGAACTCAGGAGAGGTTATTAAAGTCTCCAGCACAGACACAAATAGGACAGAGTGTTTGGAAAAGGTTAGGAATCAAACTTCAAGCACACTGGATAAACAAGTGACAATGAGAAGAGGGAGTGTTAATACAGGACTGAAGGTGTTATATCTGAACGCACACAGTATAAGAAAGAAGGTAAATGAGATTGTTGTGCAGATCAAAATTGGCAGATATGATGTAGTGGGCATCACAGAGATATGGCCGCAAGGGGATCAGAATTGGGAGCTGAATATCCAAGGATATACATCTTATCAAAAAGATAGGCATGTGGGCAGAGGGGGTGGAGTTGCCTCATTAGTAAGAAATGAAATTAAATAAATAGTAAAAAATGAAGTAGGGTCAGATGGTGTAGAATCTCTGTAGGTAGAGTTGAGGAACTGCAGAGGTGAAAAAACCATAGTTGGAATGATGTACAGGTCTCCAAACAGCAGTCAGGAGCTGGGGCGCAAGATACACGAGGAGATAGAAAAGGTGTAAGAGAGGCAAAGTTACAGTGATCATGGGGGATTTCAATATGCAGGTGGACTGGGAAAATCGTGTTGGTAGTGGATTGCAAGTAAAGGAATTTGTGGAATGTCAACAAGATGGGTTTTTGGAGCAGCATATTGGTGGAACCCACTGGGGAACAGGCAATACTGAATTTAGTGTCGTTTGCAATGAGGCAGACTTGATAAGGGAGCTTAAGTTGAAGGAACCCTTAGGAGGCAGGGATCATAATATGATTGAATTTACTCTGAAGTTTGAGAGGGAGAAGATGGAATCAGTGGTAACGGTGTTACAGCTGAATAAAGGCGACTACAGAGGTATGAGGGAGGAGCTGGGCAGAATTGACTGGAAGAGGAGTCTAGCAGGAAAGACAGTGGAACAGCAATGGCAGGAGTTTCTGGGAGTAATTCAGGAGACACAGCAAAAATTCATCCCTGCGAAAAAGAAGCATGGTACGGGGAGGATGAGGCAACCATGGCTGACTAAGGAAGTCGGGGATAGCATAAAAGCAAAAGAGAAAGCATATAGTGTGGTGAAGGGCAGTGGGAAACCAGAGGACTGGGAAGCTTACAAAGACCAACAGAGGGCAACAAAAAAAGAAATAAGGAAGGAGAAGATTAAATGAGGGTAAGCTAGCCAGTAATGTAAAAGAAGACTGTAAGAGTTTCTTTAGATATATAAAGGGCAAAAGAGAGGCAAAAGTGGACATTGGACCACTGGCAAACGATGGTGGAGAGATAGTAACGGAGAACAAGGAAATGGCTGAGGAACTGAATAATTACTTCGCGTCAGTCAGTAATCTCCCAAAAATTCAAGCGAGTCGGGGGCAGAGCTGAGTATGGTGGCCATCAACAGGGAGAAGGTGCTAGACAACTGATGGCCTGAAGCTGGATAAATCACCAGGACCAGATGGACTACACCCCAGAGTTCTGAAGGAAATAGTTGAAGAGATAGTGGAAGCATTAGTGGTGATCTTTCAGGAATCGCTAGAGTCAGGGAGGGCCACAAAGGACTGGAAAAATTGCTAACGTGACACCCCTGTTTAAAAAGGCAGTGAGGCAAAAGACAGGAAATTACAGGCCGATTAGCCTAACCTCGGTCGTGGGTAAGATTTTGGAGCCCATTGTGAAGGATGATATTTCTGAATATTTGGAAGTACATCGTCAAATAGGGCAAAGTCAGCATGGTTTCATCAAGGGGAGGTCATGCCTGACAAATCTCTTAGAATTCTTTGAGAGGGTAATGAGCAGGTTAGACAAAGGAGAGCCAATGGATCTATCTACTTGATATCTACTTGAACTTCCAGAAGGCCTTTGACGAGGTACCGCACAGGATGCTGCTGAGTAAGCTTAGGACCCATGGTGTTAGAGGCAAGGTACTAGCATGGATAGAAGATTGACTGGCAGAAAGCAGAGAGTGGGGGCAAAAAGGTCCTTCTCAGGATGGCAGCCAGTGACTAGTGGTGTTCTGCAAGGGTCAATGTTGGGACCCCAACTTTTCATTTTATACATTAATGATCTAGATGAAGGAACTGAGGGCATTCTGGCTAAGTTTGCAGATGATACAAAGATAGGTGGAGGGATAGGCAGTATTGAAGAGGTGGGGAGGCTGCAGAAGGATTTAGATAGGTTAGGAGAGTGGGTAAAAGAAGTAGCAGATGGAATACAATGTGGGAAAGTGCAAGGTTATGCACTTTGGTAGGATGCATAGAGGCATAGACTGCTTTCTAAATGGGGATAAAATTCAGAAATCTGAAGTGCAAAGAGACTTGGTAGTTCCAGTCCAGGATTCTCTCAAGGTAAACTTGCAGGTTGAGTCAGTAGTTAGGAAGGCAAATGCAATGTTGGCATTTATTTTAAGAGGACTTGAATCTAAAAGCAGGAACGTACTTCTGATGCTCTATAAGGCTTTGGTCAGGCCACATTTGGAGTATTGTGTGCAGTTTTGGGCCCCATATCTCAGGAAGGATGTACTGGCCCTGGAGCACGTTCAGAGGAGGTTCACAAGATTGCCCGGGAATGAAAAACTTAACGTATGAGGAACATTTGAGAACTCTGGATCTATATTTGATGGAGTTTAGAAGGATGAGGGGGGATCTAATTGAAACTTACAGAATACTGAATGGCCTGGACAGAGTGGATGTTGGGAAGATGCTTCCATTGGTTGGAGAGACTAGGACCCGAGGGCACAGCCTTAGAGTAAAGGGAAGGCCTTTTAGAACGGAGATAAGGAGAAACTTCTTCAGCCAGAGAGTGGTGAATCTATGGAATTCACTGCCACGGAAGGCTGTGGAGACCAGGTCATTGAGTACATTTAAGACTGAGATAGATAGGTTCTTGATTATCAAGGGGATCAAGGGTTATGGGGAGAAAGTGGGAGAATGGGGTTGAGAAACTTATCAGCCGTGATTGAATGGCGGAGCAGACTCAATGGGCTGAATGGCCTAATTTCTGCTCCTATGTCTTACGGTCTTATGGATTGAATCTGCCTCCATTGCACTCTCAGGCAGCATGTTCCAGATCCCTCCACCAATTAGAACAGTTTCCCTCCATCTGTTCTGTCCTGATCTCTCATGATTCTGAACATCTCAATCAAATCCCTCAAACTTTCTCTTCTCGAAGGCAAGCAGGTCCAGCTTCCCGAGTCTGTCTACACACCAGGAGTTCCTCATCTGAGGAACTGTTCATCAATTATTTCCACTTGCTCTCTCTCTCTCCCCCGCTCTCTCTCTCTCCCGCGCACCCTCTTTCTCCTGCGCACTCTCTTTTTCCTGCTGTCTCAAGCCTTTGTATCCTTCCTTCAGCATAGTAGTGCTCACAATTGGACACAATACTCCTGTTCACCGCCAGCCAGTGTTTATGAGGAATGTTGGTCATAGTGTATTTACTTTTATACACTGTCCTTGTGAGTATAAAGACCAGGATTCCCTACATCTTTATGACCTTATTAAACGGTATTGCTCCTTTTAGTGATGTGTGTATGTGCGCACCAGATCGCTCCAGTCCCATTACCCCAGTAAGAGATGCGGTGAAGGGCAAGGGGACGTTTTACGCCCCGTCTATGGTGTGTTTTGTCGTGGGAAGGGCACTCAACTAGCCGTAAGGGGAGGGGCTGAGTACGAGCGCTGAGCCACCTCCCCAGCTCCTTCTCCCACCACAATTGAATGGGAGGCTGGGAAGTGCTAGGGAATGTCCTCCTCTTCCTGGCTGCCTCCCTGGGTTCAGAAGCAGAGGGAAGTTCTTACCGTTGCACCACTGACATTAACCCAGCCACAGGCTGAACGGGGCCTGTCCAGGCAACACAGCTGTGTCTGCTGGGGGTGGGAAGGGTTGTGGGACACTCAGACCCTGATCAAGGGGCCCAGTATTGAGAATGGGGAGCCCCCTGAGAGCAACTCTCCGCTGCCCCTTATTCTGCTCTGCTGTGTATACCCAAGACTGCCCCCACCAGCACCTCCCTCTGGCTGCTCAATCCCAAACACCCAGTGACTGCTGTTCCCACAGCAAGCTCTGATTGGCCAGCAGCACTATCCCTGCGATCCCAAGGAATGCCTTTTGGTGGCTACTTAAATGTCTGAGTGGTCCTTCATACCAGCGAAAGTTCCCAGGGAAGGTAACGTGGCTCTCTCACCTGCTCTCCAGTGGCAGAGCAGACCTTTAATACCCTCTATAAAATCAGCCCCTCTCCCACCACATTATTCTCCAGGGTCGCTTCAGGGTCCTACTCCCGTGATATCAGAAGTCCGGGGTTCCACTGCAGAAAGCTGAGCCACCAGGCAAGGTGATAATAATTTTGTCATTTCTGGCCACTGAGTTACCAGGGATCAGTGGTTTTAGCCAGCAAAGTGACCTTTTCACTCTCAGTTGCTGTCCCACTGTCCAGTTCAATCTATTTTCAGTTCACAAGACCCTGGGATACACAGCGATTCCCATCTCACTGACAGACTGATCCTGCCCCTTATTATCCTAACTACATCACCCTACTTTACCTTGTCTATCCTTCCAAAATATTGTAAATCCTTTAATATTCAGTTCTCAATCTTGATCAGTCCCAGCTTCAAAATGACAATTAAATAATGCACTTTGGCTTCTGTAAAAGCCTTCAGATTACCTTGTTGCTAACACACACTTCGTAACCTGAAAATATAAATGTTTACCTCTCTAAATAACCCAAAGCACATAAAAACCAGGTTGAAGAGAAAACATGGATTTGTCTTTGCAATGATTTACTTTGAGAAAACATACTTTTAGCCAATAATGGTTAGTTCTGGAAGGAAGAAATGATAAGAAACAGATGGATATCAGTCTGGCTACCTGGTGCACACACAGGCAAGTCACTGGGCATGTACAGATGGTTCTGGGGCCTTGGAAGAAAACAGGCTGAGGAAACACAGGATCACAGTCTTCCAGCCATTCTTAAAAAGGACAATTGGATTCACAATGGACTCACACAGGAAGAATGTTTCAGAAAAGCAGACGGATGAGCTGGGCAGCATTTCCTCCACAAGCTTTCCCCAAACTGCCATCCAAAGCGAAATCCAAACAAGGCAGCAATAAAACTCTGTAGGGGATTGCTCTGAAGTGAGTCTGAGCAACGAGTTAAAGTCATGTGATTTCCAAGAAGTGCATTTTAATAAAATGTTCTAATGGGTCCTTTCATTGGACTGTTCAAAAAAAGACATTCAGACATCTCCACAAAACTTTAAACAAATCCAATTTTCCACAACCCTTCAAAACTCAAGTCCTCAAAATATATGTAACATATATAAAATAATGTTTATGTAACATACACAAAATAACATGAAATATATAAAATAACATAAAATATATAAAACATACAACAGCTGTGTGATAGCGCCAGGTTCCCAGCTGCTTTATATATTTTATAACTGTTCCTATTTTGTACCTTTCTGTTTCAGTGTTTAATGGTGGACTTGCATTCAGGAGAGTTCTTGCAAAAAGTAAGTAAACACTTTCTCATGGTGGATTTCTTGATAAATGCCTTGCAGATTCCTGGTTGGTTGTACCTGTGTTTACAAAGGGCTTGCAGGCCTGTAACACAGACTCAGGCACTATCCTCACATCTCCTGTGCTCTTTTTAATGAGGATACACAGTTATGATATTTTTAAAAAGAAGTTGGAAATTCTCCTCAGATTTGACAGCATCAGTCAAGATCTCGAGTTAGTGTTTCAGTTTGTGACCTTTCAGCAGTGAATCAACCCCCCCCTCTAAGTTTTCTTTAGTGGCCATGGGATGGGGAACATAACCAGGAAGAAAGCATTCATTGGAAAAAGAATATTTCTGATTGAATGGAGGAGTCAAACTGCTGAAGAATGCTGTGGCATTTTAGGAGCAAATAGATGTTGGTTATTCAACAGTAAACATCCTGGTTTTGTGTAACGTGTAACCAGTAACCAGCTGACCATGGCAGATATGTCAAAGATGCAGGTTTATGAGCCAACTTTTGATTTGTTCTTCTTCGGTTTTCATGGATAGCTGACCCGTCACCAGACTGCTGTACTCTGGGAGTGCTCTGCTGTATAATGTACCGATTGGAGGTACTAACTGTGGGGATTGTAATATTTTACTCTTCTTTAACCCTGCAGGTTGGTGATGAGCATGATATTCTGCCCCACAAGATGTACAAGGAGCTTCTGAACTCTCTGCAAAGCCAGAGAAAGACTTGTCAGTGTAAGAAGCCTCAGGCCACGTTTATCCTTACCTGCTGGAGCTCTCTTCTTTAATCCTGTGCTTTCATGCCACTTTGAATGTATTTGCATTTGGTTTTATTTGGCACAATCCATTTTGTTAAGCAAAACTAACATTTCAATGACCATCTTTAATTCTAATTTAGTCTTGAATGGATTCCTAGTTTGATTTCAAATTACTTTGTGTTCTAACTAATAGCTCATGATCTGATTTTCTCTCTCACATCCCTACGTTCCTGTTCTATATCAGTGACCTCCTGCACATACCATCTCTCCTGATCCTATCTAATGACTGGCATTCACCATCTTTCTTCAGCTTCTCTCTCTGTCTGTCTCCAGAGCTCACAGCCTTAATTTTCCTTGGAGTAAAGTAGATGTTCTTCCCATTGCTGTCAGTGAGGCCGAGAAACCTATTCTTTCAGATATTCAACAACACAGTTACTTCTTCAAGTCTGTCAGAGATGCAGGAGCAGTGAACCCTGGTAACATTGAAGGTTCCTCCACCTTCTAGATCTCGCTGTCTCCACCATCCTCCTTGAACGTGTCTCTCCTCCATCACTCAGATTTCTCTCTGTGGCTTCTGTTCCATAACAAGCGTGAGCTTGCACCATTACCCGATATGTGGGGACACATTTCTCACACCTCTGTTGCACACCAGCATGCAGTGCAGAATGAACCTTATTGGTGAATCAGTTCTCTGGTCTGTCTTCATGCTGTCATCTGAATTTTACTCTCTTTAAAGCTGCAAGTGAACATCCTCTTCGTCCTGGCAGAATTGGGATAAAGCCTGACTTCATTGTGCCCTGCTGGAACTCCACTTCCCCAAATTACTGAAACTCTGCACTACTCTCTTTCCCTGCTGTCATTGGTTGACTTTGTCTTTTTGATCTTGCAATGGTTGTGAAAAAAACCCAGTTGATCAGTTCACAGGTAGATTACTTTGTCATGAAGATTGGAGTTTGTCCCATTTGGAGTAGCATTTCCAAATGAAATTGATTGAAGCAGTCACGTTGTTGGGTGCAGTGCTGAGTAGAACGCATTGAGGATGCAGTTCAATGTTTGAAAAGATCCCACTGCCCCAGCTACTGAATTATCACCACAATCATGAAGCCAGCAGGTGTAGTTTCTTACAAACCCTTCTGGTTTGCTAGGGCAGGCAGTTTAACCTGAATCCATATGCTAACCTTAACCTGAATCCATATGCTAACCTTAACCCGAATCCATACGCTAACCTTCACCCAAATCCATACGCTAACCTTCACCCAAATCCATATGCTAACCTTCACCCAAATCCATACGCTAACCTTCACCCAAATCCATATGCTAACCCAAACCTGAATCCAAATGCCAATCTAAATGCTAGCCCTAACTAGCTCAGTATGTGGATTACCGGGATAGCAAATGACACACACATGCTGTGTATTAGCTTGAAACAGGCACAACCTCATGGAGCCTGTCAGAATCTTAAACAGCTCAGGATGCCATTCAATCCATTGTATCTGTCCTGACCCTTTGGAAGAGCTACCTAATTGGTTTCTTTCGGCATAACTCTGATCTTTTCCAATTCAAATATTAATCTAATTGCTTTTTGAAAATTACTTTTTGTATCTGCTACTGCTGTCCTTTCAGACAGAACCCTCCAGAAGACAACAGCTCACTCTGATTCTTTTCACTTTTACTCTGTCTAGTTATTGGTCTTCAGCTGCATTAATGGCACTATATAAACGCAAGTTGTTTTGGTGGCATTTTTAGACCTGGGGAAAGTGAAGATTGTCGAGCATTTGCCATTATTGCTATGAAGCATGCTCTGGTGATATTAACGTCTCTGTCTATCTCGGGTTTGTCTACAGGCAGCCAGGAGTTAAACGACATGGTGACAAACACCTTTGTGCTGTTCTTTGTTAAAGTCATCGGACATTATTCTGACCACCTTAAACGAAACCGGAATGAAATTACATTTCAAGAGAAGCAGTTTCGCAAATCTGTCGCCTCCAGATCCATCCGCAAGTTTCTCAAGAGCTTCATGGTGACACAGATGTTCTTGCTGTTTGTCCAGGAGTTACAAGATCCTCTTTGTTCTCCAGAAGGTAAGGCAGTGTGGACGGGTGACCAAACCATCAGCCACTGGCTCTACATGAGCCTTCTAGCAGCTCTCTCTGGTTCTGTCTACCAGAAAGAGCCACACTGTCTGCCCCACATAAACACAAAATATTGTGGATGCTACAGATCAAAAGTGCTGGAGAAACCCAGCAGATTTGGCAGCATCTGTGGAGAGAGAAACATATTCAGTGTTTCAGGTCCAATATACTACTGTTGGACACAACATTATCTGTTTCTCTGACCACACAGATATTGTCAGAGCTTTACCCAGCTCTCTCTGTCCTGTTCCTCTTTATCCTGAGTGCATCCCATTCCCAACTAGTGCCCAGCATCATACTGCAATAAAGCATTGCAAGTTACTAGGGAGAAGAACCAAATAAACTCACTGGAGCAGATCTGAAAATATTTCAAAACCATTGCATATGGACAGATACAGCGCATACAGATGTTCCCGAACCCATGTTGCCCCTCCCCTCTCATGGGCATTTGGTCCACTTTGTGCTACTCAATCATGGGCTCCACCCAGTTATTTAATCTTGCCCCACAGCCTGCAGACACAATCCTCTGTATCTGACCTCTCTCCCTTTCTCTCCAGGGTTTTTTGAGAAGAAGATAAAAGAACACCGTGAGAACAGAACTAAGGTAAAGTAGGGTAGTTTCCAGTAAACAATGGAGCTGACATCGGGAGAACAGTCTAATGTCAGCCTACCACCTCACGCCGAAAATGGCTGATCAGCAGCAGGAGAACAGGTCACTTTGTCCTCAGGGTCAAAGACAGAGGCAGCTACCTCAGAAGCTTGTCATCATTGTGAGCAGCTTGTAAATTTTGAATGATTGTATTTAAATGGACTAATTTCAGAAAGGGCAGTTTGGGAAAAGGGGAAGTGATGTGGTATTGATATTCTTTGAATATCTTAAACAATGGTTTTGTTGAAATGTGTGTTTTTCCTCTTCTCAAACTTTTATTTTGTCTCCTTTTTTTTAATGAATGTGGATTTGATACCAGGCAAACGTTTGAAATCTGGAGTAAGAACAAAGAAAATTAGGAAATGCTGAGCAGGTTGGGCAGTGGCTCTGGAGAAAGAACCCAGAGTTAATATTTTTGATCCTTCAGAATGGAGGAAATATAGAAATGCAATATGTTTTACGGCAGTTGAAGGGAGGCGGGCCAGGAAGTTCAAAGGAGGAAGTCTATGATTGGGTGAAAGCCAGGGAGATTAATAAGAAAAATTGCATGATGCAATAGCTACAGAAAGCAGTAAAGGATGTTATATCCAGATGACGGGTGATTTCTGCATAATGTAGCAACTAATCTCCTCTGGCTTATCCCAGAGCTTCCAATTTGTTGTTCTTCTCCCTCTTCCGCCGACTTGAGCATTCTTGCATTTTTATCTTGAATATTACTGAAAAACTATATTTTGTTGAACCTTTTCATTTTGCACTCTTCAGGACAATTCGTAAAAAATACCAATTTAAGGAAAAAAGCAGACATTAATGCATTTAAGCAAAGTTTGGCAGCTAACTGTCAGAAATCATAAACTGGTGCATCCTCCATGGTAACGTCTCTACCAATCAGACTCCACCTGTCGACTTACAAGATGTAACAAGGCGTAGAGCTGGATGAACACAGCAGGCCAAGCAGCATCAGAGGAGCAGGAAAGCTGACGTTTTGGGTCTCGACCCTTCTTCAGGAATATCCAGCTCTACACCTTGTTGTCTCAGATTCTCCAGCATCGGCAGTTCCCACTATCTCTGAATCGACTTACAAGATGTGTCTTTTCTTCAGCAATAATCAAGTCTTCTATGCCTAAACAACAATTTCTATCTATCTTCAATTCAGATGGAAGGGCATCGACCTGAAATGTTAACTCTGTTTTTCTCCACTGATGCTGCCTGATTTGCTGTGAGTACATTAGTATTTATGTTCTCTGATCGAGTTGGTTACTGTACCTGTCCCGGGCCCTGACCATTTCATTCCAAGCTATAGGTTGAGGATCTGGCTGTCTGGAGCTTCTGTACATAAAAACGTTTTGTTTCAATGTCTCTGGGACCCCCAAAGCATTTTAAGCGCAAGGGTTGAGTGGGAAAATCAGCTCTGACTGTGAAAAACAAATTGCTGGAAAAGCTCAGCAGGTCTGGCAGCATCTTGGAGAGAAATCAGAGTTAACGTTTCGGATCCAGTGACCCTTCCTCAGAACTGTTAACTCTGATTTGTCTCGAACAGATGCTGCCAGACCTGCTGAGCTTTTCCAGCAATTTCTGTTTTCTATTCTGATTTCCAGCATCCGTAGCTCTTTCAGTTTTTATTTAGCTCTGACTCTGCCTCTAGGGTTAGAGAAGACAGGTTAGGCTAGGAATTTCCTGTGTTATATCAGATGTTTTCTACTGTTCCCCGTTTGGAAAATTGTAGCCTACCTGCCACTGGATTCCCCAATCCAAAACCAGTCAGCAATGACCCTACCAATGGGAATCCACTTGTCAACCAGTCACCTGCCACTGAAAAGATCTGAGGAGCACTGATTGGCTGGAGGTGGTTCAACCGCTCCCACCCTCATCCCTCCCCACATCCACCGCCCCAACTCCAGTCCAGTCCCGTCCCCTCCCACCCCATCCCCTCCATGCTGGCCCCACTTGACGAGGGAGTGCTGCATTGCCAGAGGTACACTGTCTTTCAGCTGAGACATTAAACCAGAACTTCACCTCCTCCACATAGAAGGTACCATGGTCCTAGTCAAAGATATGAACTTTTTGCTAATGCCTTGACCAAGATTTGTCCCAAAGTCAACGTCCTAAAAACAGATCATCTGCGATTTTTCATATTGCTGTGAAATGCTTTGGAGATGGTGAGGAAGGTCACTATGTAAATACACACTCATTCCAGATGGAGAATGGGGTACAAGTTAAAATTTCTCAGGCCTGAGTATGTCTTGTCCAGTTGAAACTTGCTAGGATTATACTGGCCCCTGTGGTTCATTTGTTGCTGTGTCTTTTCCATTGAATGTTCTGTAAATCAGGCAGTACACTGTCATGTTACAGAGAAAATCTTTAATTACACACTCACTGTCTTACGTTGCTATTTCTGATGTTACTGTGAAGTTTCAACCTATGTACAAAATAATGTGACACACTGGTTGTATATAATCTGCATAGCATTGGAAATGGAGATTTTAAATAAAATAATTTTAAATCAAAATTTGGATTCAAATCCTCTTGCTGTAATGAAAGCAAAAAGATTCTTGACAGACCAGGAAAATTTTGCGTTTTGTTCCTGCTTCACCTCGCGTTCCTACGGTGCAGAAACTGGCCATTTGGTCTATCGAGTCAGCACCGACCTCAGAGCATCCCACCCAGACCCTCCCCATCCCCGTAAACCTGCATGGAGGTTTTACTATGGCTAATCCGCCTCACCTACCCTGAAGACTACGGGCAATTTAGCCTGGCCAATCTACCTAACCTGCACATCTTTGGACTGTGGAAGGAAACCCACGCAGACTCGGGGAGAACATGCAAACTCCATGCAGACAATCACCCATGGCTGGAATCGAACCTGTGTCCCTGGCGCTGTGAAGCTGCATTGCTAACCACTGAGGACACCCTTTTCAAAAAAAGGTTACCTAGATAAAACTTGATGTAAGACCATTTCTTATTCTTTTATTGGATGTGGCCATTGTTGGCAAGGTCAGGGTTTGTTGCTCATCCCCAAATGCTCCTTGAGCTGGGTGTCCATTGCCCAGCCATTTCAGAGGGCAGCCACATTGCTGTGGGTGTGGAGTCACATGTAGACTAGACCAGGTAAGGATGTCGGATTTCCTTCCCTGAAAAACCAGATCGATTTCTATGAGAATAGATGTCATGGTCACCATCACTGAGGCTAGCTTTATATTCTAGATTTATAAATTGAATTGAAATACCACCAAATGTTGTGGTGGGATTTAAACCTGCAGAATCTAGATATAGATTGAGCAAATCAAATGGGTAACTATACTATGCAGCAGGAATTCCTGGAGTATGAATGGGATGGTTTTCTGGATCAATACGCTGAGGAAACAACTAGAAAACAGGCCACTTGAGACTGGATACTGTGCATTCAGAAAGGAATTATTCGCAATCTAGCTGTGCGAGGACCTTGGGGGAAGAGTGATCATAATATGATAGATTTATTCATTTAAAGGTGGAGAGTGGCTTAATTGATATTTGAGACCAGGGTCCTGAATCTAAAGAAACTATAATGGTATGACGCTGGTATCATACATTGATTAATGTTACTTAAAGGGATGGCTTTGGATAAACAATGATGAATGCATGGGGTTCTGCAACAATTATTCATTCCTGTCCGGCACAAAATAAAACAGGAAAGGTCACCCTACCATAGCCAACAACAGAAATTAGGAATGGTATTAAATCCAAGAAAGAGGCAGACAAATTGGCCCAAATAAAAGATCAAACCTGAAGATTGGGAGCAATTAGAATTTAGCAAAGGGGTTGAATAATATGGGGGTGGGGAGCGGAACAAGAATAAACTCGTAGGGAACATACAAACTGATTGTAAAAGCTTCTATATGTATGTGAAGAGAAAAGGCACAGTGAAGGTCCCTTACAATCAGAAACAGGGGAAGTTCTAACAGGGAAACAAAGAGATGGCTTTCACTTTTACTCTGTCTAGTTATTGGTCTTCAGCTGCATTAATGGCACTATATAAACGCAAGTTGTTTTGGTGGCATTTTTAGACCAATTAAAAACATAATTTGGTGGTTCTTAAGAAAGGAGAACACAACATCCCAAAACTGTTGGGGAACACAGGATTTAGCGAGAGGGAGGAACTGAAGGAAATCAGTATTAGTAGGGAAATTGATGGGATTGAAGGTTGATAAATCCCTCAGGTCCAATAATCTACATCCAGAGTACTCAAGAAAATGACCCTCTAAATAGTGGATGCATTGATGGTCATCTTTGAAGATAATTCTATAGACTCTTTTACAGTTTGGAGTGTAGCTAATATCACCCCACTAATTAAAAATAAGGTTGCAAAGAAACAAAATTATAGAATAGTTTGCCTGGCATCTGTAGTGGGGAAAATGCTACAGTCCATTATAAAAAGATTTAATAGCAGAGCCCTTAGAAATTGACAGGATCCAACAGAGTCAGCATGGATTTCTGAATGGAAAATCATGGTTGACAATCTATGGGAATTTTTTGAGAATGTAACGAGTAGAGTTGATAAGGGGAGCCAGTGGATGTGGTTTACTTGGACTTTCAGAAGGTTTTTGGTAAAATCCCACGTAAGAGATTGATGTGTAAGATTAAAGTGCATGGGACTGGGGATAGAGTACTGACCTGGATAGGGAACTGAGGAAGGATCACTCGACCTGAAACGTTAACTCTGATTTCTCTTCACAGATGCTGCCAGACCTGCTGAGCTTTTCCAGCAACTTCTGTTTTTGTTCCTTATTTACAGCAGCCGCAGTTCTTTCTGTTTTTATTGACAGAGAACTGGTTGGCTTACAGGAAGCAAAGAGTAGGAACAAGTCAGTCTTTGACCGAGTGGCAGCTCGTGACCAGTGGGGTACTGTAGGGATCAGTGCTTGGACCCCAGCTATTCACAATGTATATTAATGATTCAGATGAGGGAACTAAATGTAATGTCTCCAAATTTGCAGATGAGACAAAGCTGGGAGGGAAGGTGAACTGTGAGGTAGATGCAGAGATGCATCAGTGTGATTTGGATAAGTTGAGTTAGTAGCCAAACTCATGGCAGATAAGGTATAACGTGGATAAATTTGAGGTTATCCGCTTTGGAAGGTGGATTTTTATCTAAATGACAATAGATTGGGGAAGGGGGAGGTGCAACGAGACCTGTGTGTCCTCAACACCAGTCACTGAAGGTAAGCTTGCAGGTGCAGCAGGTGGTAAAGAAGAGAAATGGTATATTGGCTCTCATTGGGAGAGGATTCGAGTATAGGAGCAGGGCTGTCTTGCTACAATTGTACAGGGCCTTGGTGAGCCCACACCTGGAGAGTTATGTGCTGTTGTGATGCCCTTATCTGAGGGAGAATGTTCTTGCTGTAGAGGGAATGCAACGAAGATTTACCAGTGATTCTGGTAAGAGAGTGTTGGCAGCACTGACATATGACAGACTGAATCGGTTAGGATTATATTCACCACAGTTTAGAAGAATGAGGAGAGAATTTCATAGAAAGCTAGAAAATTCGAACAGAATTGAATAGGTGTTGAGATTGTCACTATTTTGCTTTTGTTTTTCTCATTTCTGGTTTGAAACTGAGTGTTGAAGTTGAGAATTGAATTTTGAACAGCAGCATGTTTTGTGGAAGGTCAGAAATCACACGACACCAGGTTATAGTCCAACAGGTTTATTTGAAAACACAAGCTTTTGAAGCGTAGCCCCTTTGTCACCTGACTCCGAAAGCTTGTGTTTTCAAATGAACCCGTTGGACTACAACCTGGTGTCGTGTGATTTCTGACCTTGCCCACCCCAGTCCAACACAGGCATCTCCACATCATGTCTTAAAGAAGTGAGAACAAATGTCTGATGTTTGGTGTTGGGAACTGGTCTGAAAAGATAATTAATTTTAATTACTGCTTTAAAGAGACTGTAGGCATTTTGACTCCAAAATGTTTCTACACTCAAAGACTGGCTGGTGGTTGGATGTTGAATTGGTCAATCAAGGGATAAGTGGTACTGGCCAGTCAATCACAGAGAATGTTGAAAAAGGAGGAGAAAACAAAAGATGAACTGGCTCTGACTGGGGTTTTGAGCAGGAGGCAGTGTTGTTTTAGAAGCTACTGCACTGGGAAGCTGTTTGTGTCATTTTGCTCTCTCTAGTTATTCTCCAGTTATCAACTTGTTGAAAGTTCTTCGAACAGAATCCCAGTCTTGATGAAATAAATAGGTCTCCAGAGATATGCAGAAGCTCTTTGCATTGACTGATGGCTTCAGAATTCTAGAGGATATATGGTCCTCTGTGCCTTTAATACAACCCATTGTCCAACGATTTCATGAAAATCTGGTATTTAATCATAACTGTTTCTCTCTGTGTGTGAGGTGTTTATGATCAAAGAAGATTGAGCTTAGTAGATATTAATAAGGTTGCCTTGTAGTCTATCTGTGTTCTGAACAGTTATTATTAATCATTACTTGTTAATTTTTGTTTAAATTATAACTTTAGTGCCCAAGATCTGTTACTTATAAAGTCTGGTTAAGAACAATTGAGCATTTTAAGGGTCTTTGAATGTTTTAATTTCACTGAGTGGCAAATCCAGTGATAGTGAGGATGATTTGGTTTGGCTTAGTCTCCTTGTGCCATAACACAGAGTACATACTGGAAGGAAATTCCCAATGACCAGGAGTCCAGGGTAGACCATTTAGGATTGAGATGAGGAGAAATGTCTTCAGCCAAAGAGTGTTGAGCCTCTGGAATTCTCTGCCACAGAAAGTCATTGAGGACAAAACACTGGATGTCTTCAAGATGGAGTTAGATATAGTTCTTGAGGCTAAAGTGTTCAAAGAGAATGAGAGAAAGCAGGAAAGGGTACAGAGTTGGGTGCTCAGCCATGATCATATTGAATGGTCATACAGGCTCAAAGGGCTGAATGGCCTATCCTATTCCTATTTTCTATGCCTGTAATTATCCTGGAAAGGTAAAGTATCTCAAAAACCTGTTCAGCAAGCTATTTTATTCGGGTGTGGTTCCCAGTGTCACCGATGTGTGTCTGTGGTGTGGGAATGGGTTGTATTTTTTGGATCCTTATATGTGTCATATCATTATCATTGGGACATTGCAACAACAAGGAAAGATACAAAGATGGTGCAAGAAGAATGTTCTCCCCACAGTTTCTTCAGCCTCTGCGCCAAACAACTTCTCGTCTTCACTGATCTCAACTTTCATCTCACCTCATTATGTTCTCTCTGCCCTTAGTTCACTGCCTTCTTCTCCTCCCTAAACGTTTTGCTCCACATAAACTCCTCAATCCCGGTTGGTAACCTTCCTCTAAATCTTTCCCATGATTTTGTTATTCCCATCAGACCAATCACAGATCAGGTTTTCTCAAGCACTTCCTCACGCCACCCTCTCCCTAAAGTTTTTTCCCATTCCAACACCGACACTTGCTGGACATCTCGAATACAATGTGTAGGATTGGTTTCCTTACTGAAGGAAGGATGTAGATGTTTTGGAG